AGCTTTCGGGTGGAAGAGAACGTTTCGGCTTGTCGGGGGGGGGTCCAGGGTTTGCAAAGATGGGGGGCGCCTGCAGGCCGGAGACCGCAGCTTTGCCTATAGGCGTTGCTTCTGGCTTGGCTTTCTTTTCAGGGCTGGTTCGAGGCACACGCGGCTTGCTGAGTAGTAGTCTAGCTGCTGCTTCTGCCGCTTCCTGACCGGAGGCATTGTCATCGAGCCCTCCCCCCACACCTGCCCCAGGCCCGGGGTGAGGTTTGACCCCACCGGCAACCCCTTCTCCTCCACCCCCCCCCGGGAACAGGAACAGGAATCTTGCCGAGTGCTGCCTGCAGAGCCTCGTGAGCGGCTGCCTTCATTTCGACATCTCTCCCCCCCAACAGGTGCCCACCACTCACGGGTGTGTTTTCCCCGTCCCCCTGCTCAGGACCCAGCTCTGCAGAAAACGGAACAGTGTCGTCGTCAGGGCCCGCCGCCATAACTTGATCTCTAGAACGAAACGACGACGGCACGAACGAGGGGGGAGTGAAGGAGAACAAGCGAAGAACCGGGAACTAACCTCTGCTGCCCTGTGCCCGCGCGCTCGAACCCGAGAGGGATGCGAGAAGCGGGGGCCCGAGGGGGAGACAAAGGCCAGCTGATTGGCACGACTTGAGCCAAAATGGCTTGAGCCAAAATAACAGTTTAGGGTTTAGGGCTTAGGGGCCCTGAATCCCAAAAGCCTAAACGTAGACCCTATTCAACCCTGAAAAAACAAAACCCCAAACTGTACAGCCTTATCTACACTGGCTTGATTAGTGCTCGCCCGGCCAGATCCCCGGAGCACATCGCACTCGTGGCGAGATGCTCAAGGCTAATTAAGCACACAATCTTCACTATCTTACGAGCTAACCGGTCGGATACGCTGTTGAAGGAGCTGATAAACTGATGTTCCTGATGGATGGAGTCATGAAGTCGAGGTCAACCATCTCCTTGACTTTGTAGAAGATCTTCATGCATGTAGAAATCCAGCAGAACCCTGAAAAACTCCAACTGGATCTACTTGACCCAGGTCGACACAACATCCGGAAGAGCGCCAGCCCTGCTGAAAGCGTCAAACCTAAAACCCTTTAGTTTTGCAACCAGACTCAAACCTAGAACCCTAAAACCCCCTGACCCCCGAAACCCCAAAGCCGTACACCGTGGGCCGACCTGGCGTCCGGCCCGTCCCCGGAGCTGGTTGTCGATGCGCCGGGACTCGTGCCGGGTGGTGCCGAGCACGTAGAGGCCACCGGCCTTCCAGTTCAGCGCCACGCGCCGAAGGGTTCAGGGTTTAGACTTTAGGGTTGATGGCTCAGGGCCCCTATCACAACTTCGAGGGTCTTCCTTATGCCCAAGGATTGACGAACCTCTGAGATTGCTAACGTCAGGAATTGAGCGCTTTAGGGTTTGAAGCTTCACTTTCGGGCTTCAATCTCTTGGAGAGGTCTATGCCTGCACAGCTTAGGCTGGAAGTTCTATGGTCGATGCTTCTAGACGTAAGGCTTAGGCTGTCAAGGTGCCGGAGGTCTACGGGCAAAGCGACCTACTCGCCGGCTTGAAAGCCCGAGTTCGAGAGAAGTCGCCGCCACAATCAATCCACGAGACTTGCGGGCTTTGAGTGGATTTCCGGGACCTTCGTTCTTCAGAGCCCCAGGGCCCTAGGCTTTCAAGCTTGAGGGGGGCTTCGGCTTCGTGTCTCCTTGGTGTCCCGACCTTGATGACCTGATCTTTCTCCTCTGCCAAGGCATCCTGACACAAGCATCAGGGCTCACTTCTCCAACTTCCTCTTTATAACGAGCTTGCCTATGCCGTCATATTAGGGCGGGATGCGACGACATTCCTCAACGAGTGTCACTACCCTAAACCCTCACACTTGCAGGCTTCTTGCAGGACCATTAAGAATGGAAAAACTGTGGGAGGCTATTGCCAAAAACCGACCATGAGACGTGAGCCCATGCGGGTAGGGAAACCCAAAACCGTGGTTCGAGCCTTCCGTGACGTTTCGACGAAGGTTTTTCTTGATAGTAACACCTCCACAAGCCTATGCACTCCAGGTGCACTCCAAGTGCACTAGTCAAAGACTTCCCCGTCCCCAGCCAGTTCTTCTCGCGGCTGAGGCGATGCAAGGATTCTAGGTTTAGCTAGGTTGTCCTAGTAAAAAGGGCTACTGGGTTCGGAGCCCTTTTTGCATCCAGGCCTCTTGCAGTCTTGCCGAGGAAGGGCGAGTTAAGCGGGACTCGTGGCCACAAACTCTCCAAACCCTCAAACCCCGAAAAATGTCAAACAGAAACTCCCAAGTCTTCAAACCTGATCTTGAAGCAATAAAACACACTAAACCTCCTAGCCCTCAACCCATCACCCTAAAACCACGCACGTTAACCCTTGAAGATCGGAAAAATCTATCACAACCCTGCAAGACTTGTTTCACACCAGAAGAAGCCGGCCTTGAAGAGAGCTTTAAGGTCGGCATAGGCCTTGGGAGGTTTTTGGCAGCACCCTCGGAGCTCGCCTGTGCTCGGAAGGTAAGGCCCAGGCCTTTCGGAGCCCCATCAGCGCCTGGCCGCAGGCGAATTCCGGAAGGGCTCGTGGACCAGAGAAGAGGCGGAGCTTTATGGCTACAGTAACATTGGCGCTCGTGTTTAGGGCTTGGGTTTCGGGCTTCAGGTTTACAGGGTGTGCTTTCTTGAAAAGGTTTCCTGGCCTTTTTACGTCTTCCAAAGGTCCCACATTCTATCCAGGTTTAAAAAAGTGAAGACTGCATCATAGGAGCAGCCAGGAATGCAGGCGGCGCCAGAACGGCCAATAACCCGCACCGTGGCAATACAACTTGTCACAAAGGGAAGCCCCATGTCATCTAAATTGCCTTCCTAACGGAAGGGGTTTGACTAGGAACAGATAGTAATCGACCCCTGCGCTTGGTCGCTGTGAGGATTCAGAAGTGCAAGCCTGATCTCCAAACTCCGGGGAGCAGATCAAGGCTTCTCAAGTCGTGGTGGCCAGAGTTTGTGGTTGAAGAAGGTTAGGCTTTAGGGCTCCCGGCGGCTCCCAGCCAAGCGTCCCTCAACGTTGGAAAACAACATCTGCAGATAGACAAAGAAGCGAAAACCTTCATTAAGCCATAAGGGCTCAAGCCCAGCGATGCCGTGAAGCGCAAGCACGTTCTCCGGTCGATAAGTGAGCACGCACGAAATCATGAGTACCTTCAACAGCTATGTCGCAGCCTGCAAAACTAGTAACATAGCTGCTGTTGCAAAGGCCGCGCGTCCATGGCATCCAGTTCTCCACCAGCAAAACTTACACCATCTTTGAGGGCCCCAACCCTAGACGATCCCCACTCCCTAAACCAAAAACCCCAAGCTTCGAGCCATAGGTTCGAGCCTTCAACCGTAAAATTCAAGCCCATTCTGGCCCATTCCTATAATCCACGAACTCCCCCCAAACCCTCAAACTTTCGTTAACATACCCTGTCGGGTCGCTGTGCGAAAACCCCGTCAGACCCCGGCAACGTCCCCTGCGGCTACCTTGTACCAAAAACGAGCCTCCTTGCTCTCCCCTTCCTCAAAGGGTGCTTCACCGCCAACGGTGGCCACCAACTCCTTCGCAAAGGCTCAGGAAGAACGGTGTTGAGAGTAGGGGATTCGGGAAGGAGATCAGGGAAATCGGGGTGGCCCTGCAACCAGGGTTCGGCGTGCTGAGACGGAGTAGGGTCAGGGGTTTTAGCATTCGGGAATCGGGGGCTCGAGAAGGCTCGAGGCTTTGGGTAGCTTTCGAGTCCATGGTTTCTAAGTGCAGGGTGTAGGGCCTAGCGGGGATTTCGGAGTTCGGGCTTGTTTTGCGCCTAATCTCTTAGTTAGCTGCATGGAAGCCTCAGAAAGGGCCCCAACAGTTGTTGCAAACCCTGTCGTGCTTGTTTGAATCACTCTAACCTGGTCCTTACCTTAAACCTTAAACCCTGACCTTAAACCCTAAACCCGAATTGAACGGGGGCTCCTAAATCCCCGAATCCTACCCTTAGCAGCACGGTCTTGGATTGTGTGCCAGCGAACACCCCTCTACAGCAGAGCCTTCTCGTTTCACCCCTCTTACCCTAAGCCCCAAACGCTAACACCACGCCTCCACGTCCAGGAAGGTCTCCACGTCCTTTCCTACTGGCTTCCTTGGCAGTGGAGCTCCGGGGTTTGAAATTGGGTTTCGATGTTCGGAAACCGGTTTTCGACTCACACACTCGCACAAGGCCGGCATTGCTTCGAGGGTCTGACCTTGCTATTTGAACCTCGGAAACACCGGCTAAGCACGACAGGCTGTATCATGCAGGCGTTTTAGCGTTGAGGGTCTTGGATTTTATACAGAATTCAGGCTTCCGGTTCTCGGTGGTTTCGGGTTTAAGGTGTAGGGACTTTGTGTGAAGGGTTCAGGAGCTGGGTGAGGTGAGCAGGGCGTCGAGGGGATTCAAGCTGAAGGCTTGGTGTAGGGGTCGGTGAGGGAAACTTAGCAAAATGTGATCCCTACGCCTCCCTTCCTGGCAAAGCTCGGGTGGCTAGTTAACGGCCAGAAGCATGCCCAAGCTCGATGATAGAGACCCTGCTACCTGGCAGGCCCCAAAACCTCTAAACCCTGAGCCGAAGCTTCTCAGCGACCGCCTGCACCGCCTTCTCCAGGCGGCTGTCCAGGTCGTCTGCCACATTTGGGGCTTCGACTCTTACACTCGCACTAGGCAAGCACAGATTTTTGCTGAACAGGACGTTTAGAGTTTAGAGATTTAAAGCTGAGGGCTCGGATTGGACTCTGAGAGTTTACGGGTTTACGCTCTCTCGCAACTCGGACTCAGCCAGACGAGGTCTCGGTTTTAGGGCTTAGGATTTGGAGTTTGAGGGTTTGGGGCTAAAGTGCCCTTCTCTGCTTGAGTTCGGCCTCAGCGACTCTGTCCTCCCATATCGACGTAGTCCCGTCCGTAGCTTCCCTCAACTTCCCCCAGCCCAACTCTACGAAATCTCCAGCTCGAAGCACTTCAGCGCGGCCCCCTGACACACGCCTGGGATGTCGGTCGGATAGAACTCCTCGCTGGGGTTGAACACCTGGCGCAGGTGTCACTTTGCTACTGAGCTTGGAACCCCAACTCCCGGCTAAAGCACCTTTATTGAACAGGGTGCATAAACAAGGTCACAAAACTTCTGCGGGGCCTGAGACCTGTTTGAAAAGGCTGTCACTACGTTGACGTCTCGCAGTGGCCCTCACCAGAACGAGCATGTGTGAAGAAATATATATATATATATGTATATGTATATGTATTATACAACTTATAGGCCCCTTTTCTGAATGGAACCATGCAGAACCCATGCCACCCTGCGGCCTTGGAGGACTCCTGGATGTCCAAAAGCACCTCGGCGAGCCGGGATCGAAGGTTCAGAGCCGCCATCTGGGAGTGGTTGCCCCCGAGGATGATGTCCTGAGCTTTCGGCTTAAGGTTTATAGGTTTCGACTCTCGCACTCGCACCAGGCAGGCAAGGCTCCACACAATCCCGTCACGCGAGGAAGCCCGAGCTAGGGTTTCCCGAGGATAGTGTCGTGAGGAGAGGATTTAAACATATATATATATATACACATACATATATATATATATACAAGTATGGAATAGGCAGTTTAGGTTTGAGGTTTAAGCCGCGGAGTCTCGACACTCACACTCGCTCTAGGCAGGCAAGGCTTCAGGAAGAGTATCCTTTCAGCGTTTTGGTATTTTCTGAGTCCAGACTTGCTCGCAAAGGCCCGTGCGCTTTGGGTGCAGAGCCGAGGGGCCGTGCCTCGCCCTGCCATGTTGGTGGACACGGTGACCATGCCCAGCCGACCTGCCTTGGGGCTCTAGCTCTTGACCCCGAAATGCCCAACTCGACACTGACAGAAATGGTATCGTGGGCGATTAGACGCGGCCAATCCCATACAATCCCGAATTCGGGGCTGTTAGGACTGGCAAGCCTGCATCAAGTTTGGAAGGAGCCACCCTCGGTCCCACTTGCTAGCGGCAGTGTAGCTGGCACTGCCATCGTGTCAGGCTTTGCCAACCAAACAACATAACAATCGGAACTGGGCTTAGGATTCGGGGCGGGTACAAACCTTGCACAGGCCTGGGAGATCGTCTCGTTCTCTCTTGCGATGGACTCGGGCCGTGCGTTCAGCAGCTGCGGCTCCACTCCCGCCTCGCGAAGCCGTGTCACGATTGCCTGCAGGGGAATTCAAGCTTTACCGGGCCCAGGGCTTATGAAGCTAACGGCTTTTGTGGGGCCTCGGACATCTTAACGTTGGCGGTACCGATCAGCACAGGCCGACCGTTGCGCTGGTTGTTCAGGATGATCTCCTCCACGATGGCATTCACCTTGGCCTCCTCCGTCTTGTACACCACATCCGGGTAGTCGCGGCGCACCATGGGTCTCGCCGTGGGGATGCCGGTGCAGCGAAGGCCGTAGATCTCCTCGAACTCCGCCGACTCTGTGAGCGCCGTGCCCGTCATGGCACAGAGCCTTGGGAAGAGCCGGAAGAGAGACTGGTAGGTGATCTGTGCGGAGACCTGGGATCGAACACTGACGTCGATATTCTCCTTGGTCTCAATGGCCTGGTGCATGCCATCGGACCATCTTCTGCCCTCCAGCACTCGTCCGGTAAAGGTGTCGACAATCGCCACCTGGCCATCCCGGATGATGTACTCCTGGGTTCTTGTTCGCGGACTTACTGCAACACACTTAGCTATCATGATCAGGATTGTCTGCGCTGGATATCCCGATTGTGGATTGATTCCCTCAACTTAAGTTACGTTCCTTAGAACCGCCTAACAACCCTTACAAAGGTCTCTGCGAGAAAAACTTGGCCAGGATTCCTCCCCGAGCTGGAAGAGCTCCTTTGCCTTCACGGCATTCAGCACATATAAGATCCAGGCCTCCTTGGAGTCTTGAAGGATAAAGAGCCCTAAAGGTCCCGTACAAGTAGAGTATATTTTCTTCTTGCTGTGACTGTGAGTACGGCTAATGCGACTATAAGGGCTCTAAGAACATCATTTTCAGAAAACCCCCTCCTCCGGCTCCCAGAGATTGTCCACGCCCAGCAAGTCCTGGGCGACCTTCTCTCCGAGATCCGTCAGCACCGCGTTCATGTTTTTCTCCTCGGCAAAAAGCAGAAATCAGCTATTGAAACCAGCGAATGTCCCACACCCTAAATTTGGAGCCTAGACATCTCCAGCAAGGTCAAGCTCAAAGAGGCCCAAGTCTCATCCACAGTGTAGTGCAGGTCCTTCTGCAGCGCAGTGGCCACTTCCTTCCCTGCCTGGAACTGTCTCGGCACAGCCGGCACTGACTCGGAGATGATGAGAGGGGTACGGGCTTCGTCGATCAGGATGGAGTCGGCCTCCGTGGTGCTTCGTGGTGCCACGGTTTGTGGGTTGAAGGGTTTCAGGGTCAACGCCTCAGGGGTTTAAAAATGTCTGGGTGTTGAGGGATGGAATTGACCTCCACAAGGGAGATGCAGTGTTTCAAACCTTCGGCATCCCTTAACTCTGGACTTCGAAAGCGCGAACGGATGATCACAGTTCAATCCTTCGTCCTAGGCCCTCGGAGTCCTACATCCCCGAGACTCGCGGAAACCAAAATTGTTAAACTTTGAGAATAACATTTGATCATAAGACGCAAAGAAGACCATAAACCTGTCTAAACAACCCGACAGACTGTAGACACTTGCATAAACAAAAACTCGGGAGTAGCTTCTTGCCTCGTCGACAAGGCAAAAGTGGAAGGGCTTGCTCTGCACGACCTGTGATCTCAGAAAGCCGGAGTTCCCATTGTAGGGCTCCCGAAAAGAAGGAAGCGCCTTATTGTTTGGGGTCCAAAGGAAGGGTCCGCCATTTTCTCGTGTTTTGGTCGTCTTTACGAACAAATGCTTGCTACCGAGGGTGTGTCTGTGTGAAGGGCCCCCTATTCTCTGAGTCTCACCTGATGCGGGTACACGGCAAGGTTGTCGCGCAAGTAGTCGAAGCCGAGCTCTGCATTTGTCAGGTACACGACGTCGCACTTGTAAGCTTTCTGTCGATCTTTCACCTGCAATGCAGCATATTACGCTCAATTTTGTAGTTTGTCATGTTGGCACGGTAATCTTCACATTATAATATTGTTTAATATTAGTATTCAACTACCAAATTAATATGACAATATTCGCACTAGAAAAGCAACACTAACATCAACATTAACTAGTCAGCACTTGCCACGACGAGAGCTCCTTTGTGGCTCCTGTGGCTTGCATAAAGTATACTAAGGGCCGCCGGCGGCCACCGTTTTGGCAACCGACTACTTGTCGCCCCGCAGCACCTCCATAGTGGACTGCACCAGGCCAACAGACACGCCCAAAAATCGCAGAACCTGCCCAACATTCTCTGCGTCTCGGCGGGCCAGGTAATCGTTTGGCGTGACAACGAAGACGCCACCCTTGTCCTGGGCAGTGTCATCAAGGACGTGTACTGGCCTATTGCACGGGCTTCCGAGCAGACACATCCCTCTTTGTGCTACTGGACTCAAGTCTAGCAGAAACACTCCTAAGCCCTACCGTAACGCCGTAGACCCGAACCCTGGATTTGCGGAAGCCGCAGACCCTAAAACCTTGGCCCTGGTAAAACGCTCAACCCCAAGATCTCGTCCTCCAGCGCCGCCAGGAAGGTCGGAAGGAGTGCGACGATGGTCTTGCCCTCACCTGCAAACAACGGTTGCAGTTCAAGTGCTAGGGTATTGGATTTCAGACTTGATTTAGGACGGGTAGGGGTTGAGGTTCTTACTTGTAGTTAGGGTTAGGGGACTCAGGGTTTGAGTTGTAAGGTTTCGGATTTGGGGTTGGGGTTACAAGGTTTAGGATGGCAGCTGTGTGCCAAGTGCAAGTGCCGAAGAAATCCTGTTGTGAGGCTCACCCCAACCAAAACCACACCAAACCCACACCAAGAACCCAAAACAAAACGCTAAACCCCCGCCCAGTGGTCAAGGGCCTGTTTTCATCTCTGCCAGGCGCTCTCCGTGTAGCACCAGGCCACCAAGAAGCTGCACATCGAAGTACCAAAGCTCCAGGACCCGCCACACGGCCTGGTGGTTTGGTGGGTTATTGTGCCAAGACCAGCGAAATGATAGCGGCAGAAAGACTATAGCAAGAGCAATCATCGTCGTTATCGTCATGGTCATCATGAGGATCAGGCTAGGGAGTTCTACAAGACCAGAGGCTCGAAGCTTGCTGTAGCCACATGTTTTGTTGCCGCCTGTGCCTTCATTAGGCTTTGAGCTGTGACCAAACCTGGATTGTAAAGCCTTCTTCGGCTTAAGCCCTTACACACTCACGACATCCTGGAAGATGCTGAGTCTTAGACCTGAAACCCCAAGTTGTGTAAACACTTGTCACACGGTCCGTAAGTTCTCTGCTTGCCTCACGGAGGACCGCGAAAGCCTCGTTGACTGTTTGCGTCTCGAAGCCCTTTGCCTGCAGGGATTGCGGCTTGAAAGGTTTGCCTAATCTGGGGTTCAGGGTTGAAGAGCAGGGTCCAATTATTTTAGGCTTGTTGGCATCCCGCCTAGCTGGGACAGCGAGGGTTTGGGAGACAGGAGGAGTTTCGGTAGAACGACAACACAAAACTGAAAGATGCAGACCGTGTGCACGCATGCACACAGAGTACATACAGAGCAATACTTGTTTGATTGGGCCTAGCCACAGTGAGGTAAAGAGCACACACGACGGCGTATGAGAATCCATGCAGGTAGTACCTCTGCAATGCATGTGCACCTACGCATCTATGCAAAAACATACTGCTGCGTTGCTATCTATGTATGTCCACGTGTCAATCCATCCGTCTGTCTGTTTATGCTTGAACTCATTGTACATGCAGGCACGCGAAACCAAGTGCCCAGGTGAATGCATGCACATTACCTAACAGACCCAACAGTAATATGAAACTGCAGCAACGGTGTAGCAAGCATGGAAGCCTGAATACGCTGCTTCAGCTCCACCACCTTGGCGCGGAGTCCGTCGTTGTCCATCCTGGCTCTACCAGGATTTACTGAGCCTCAATGTTTACGATGTCCATTTCTGAGTCACAAGTGATTTATTTTCCCTACGGCCGTGCACCAAACCAGTCATGGCAAGAGAAGAGCTTGGAAGCTTAAACTTTATTTGCGGGGCTAGGCTCTTTTCGAACTCTTCCTCCAGCTCGTTGATTGCTTCTACCTGCGGCACCGGGAAAAAAAAAAACAATGCTTCGGGGAGTGGAGCTATCAAGCATAAAATGTCACAAGGGCGGCCTGTTCAGCCAGGGACTCAATCAGCGCTTCCTCGGAGATCCGAAGGTTGATTGCAATGAAACGCATCGGAACTTCTCATGCATGACCCCTGAGTCACTGGTCACTGGACTCGAAGGCCCCAGCAATCCTAAAAACCAAACCCTGATCCTAAATCTCAAACTGTAGATTTTAGCGTGGGCCGAGACGCGTTTTCCTTCTCCATGTCCCCCTTGACCTCCTCCTTCGGCTTCTCCACCACAGCGGTCTCCGCCTCAGGCAGCGTACCCCAAACCCTGGACCCTAAACAAGACTGTGAACCCTAAACCCATGCCCCTGTTCTACAGACCGTCGTGTGCACTACAACCGTAGCACCATCTACGGCAATAACCGTGCGACCAACCAAGCAAACCTTCAGTGATCACACTCCCACTTCCGGTTTTGGGTAGGGCTCACAGCTTGAGATGGGACCGTGAAGGCTCGACTCCCGGTCCGTCTAACATCGTATCCGCCTCACCTCGTCTCGTACCCGTCATGGAGGTTTCGGAGATTCAAAAGACGGATTTAGATGTCTTGCTGCTAAACTTATGTAGTTCAGGCCTATGGCCTGATAGAACACTGTGACATGCAGGGTAATACCATACGCACAATTCGGTAGAATGCTACATGGCTCGAAATCAAAACTACACAGCATAGCCCATTCCGAAAAAATGCCTACGCGTGGCATCTCGGAACCAAAATCGAAGAAACAACTGCGGCAGGAGGTCTACTGTATAGTGCACCGGAGGTTACACAGATAGCATGTGCATTGGTATCTGTTGGGAGGGGGAAGTGAGGGTCGGCATGGATTCAAGGGTTGAGGGCTTAGTGGCGAGAATCCGGCGACGTTTACATCATGCGTAGTTAAAGGAACCCTCAAGGAACAGTATAGGTATTTATTTCCTGAAATCCTCCACAGCTCAAAGACCTGACCCCTTCACTTTAGAATCTACTGAACCAGGAATCCTGAACACAAAACCCTGAACTCCAGGCCTGCCGGCCAATAGACAGAGCCTTCCACCGTAGGCTATCAGCAATCAAGCTCTGCAAGAACAAAGCTAGATTATGATGTTGCCGAGATTTCGAGATGCGTTGCGACTGACGTATTCCCGGTTTGCCGAGGTGGAATATTGCTTAGTGTTAAATGGCAAGACCCGCTAACTGCAACTTACTCCTCATATAGATTGGTGCAGGACATTTGCACCTTACTAGGAGGCCTTGTGATAAGGATCCGACATCATCCGAACATTGGTAGGTTCATACTGGCGTCCGTGGCCCCAAACACCGAACAAACCCCTTGTAGACACCTTATGGAGATTTATAGAACCTCGTGGTTCTTCTTGTTGTCCCCAACCCTTAACCCGCTAAACCTCCCTATCGTAAGGCACCGGCCCTCATTCTCACGGCGGCCGCCCGGGCCTCTGGACGCCTCGCAGCGTGCATCAAAAATTCTTTAGTGTTTTGAGTTTGGGGTTTAGAAGGCTTTCAAGGTTCAAGGCTTTTTGCTGCCTCCGATCACGGGTTTCGACTCTCACACTCGCAGGATTTAGGATTTCGTCATCACTCCTTGAGGCCATGTCCTTACGCACATGCTGGTGCAGACAAGTGCACAGCGCACGAGAAACTGAAAAAGGAAGATATAGAGCGAGAGATGCCATCGCTCATGCACATACCAACTGAGCAATCAAAAATGCTAACACACGAAAGAGCAAATACAACTGCTCAACTCTCGTTCTGTGCATGTTGTCCGTGGCCTTGTCTCAATCTCTGCATCTCTTGCTCTCCATATCTATCCCCATGTTGGTCCTTGTTTGGCAGGTCTCAATCTCTTACACTCCCGGCGCCGGTTTGCCGACGAACAGCACGTCACAAAGAGAGCCCGGAGTCGAAAGAACTCAAACAAGACCGGCAGAGAGCTGTAAAAGATGTGGGGACACACCGACGGGCACACACACACACACCTACACTGCTATCTATAGCATGTGAGGAGAATCTGTGCGTGTATATATATATACACACACACCTATCTAGCTATCTGTCTTCTGTCTACTTACCCACCTATAGCGATCTATCTATCTACCTCTACCTCTCTCTCTCTCTCCCTCTTTCTTTCGCCAGGGCTACGGACGAGGGTTGCCCCTCTCTCTCTCCCTCTCTCTCTCCTCTTCTTCTTCTTCTTCCTCAGGGCATAGGGGGCGTGTCAGACCCCTCGGCCTATTGGCCCCCCATATGTTTCTCTCTCTCTCTCTCTCTCTCTCTCTTCGTGGGGGGTGTGCATGTATACAGATAGAGATGCACACATGGATGCGTATGTATGATGCTATCTATGCATGTATGCATGCATGTATGTATGCATGTATGCATGTATTAATGTCATCTAGTGTCATGTAACGTAAATTAATGCACTGTAGTGTGGCGTACTGGGCGATGTCAAGGTAAATGCTCAAACGAGTGCCAATAATAATAATCATGATAATGCCGATGTAAATGTAAGTGTTACCATTCCTCTGAATGTGAAGATGCATGTGTGTACATACGTACATATATACATATATACACATATACACATATACACATATACACATATGTGGCAAGGACCTTTATGTTCTATTTGACGTATTGCTTTGCTGAAAACCGTACTATGTAGGGTGTAAATTACTGTTAGTGCTCGACAACACCTCAAGCACGGCACGAAGAGATTGGAGGACAACCGGTAATGCAAAAACAGTGGCGATAGGGTTCCATGTCTTTGGAGGTTCGAAGCCACAA